TTAGCCGGGCATGGTGGTGCATGCCTGTAGTCCCAGCTACTCGGGAGGCTGAGGCAGGAGGATCGCTTGAGCCCAGGAGTTTGAGGTTGCTGTGAGCTAGGCTGACGCCACGGCACTCACTCTAGCCTGGGCAACAGAGTGAGACTCTGCCTCAAAAAAAAAAAAAAAAAAAAATTGATTGATACAGTAATCTTAAAATTGAAAGTCCACTCACTCATCCTTCACATGGAAATGGTGGCAAAAGGCATCTGGACAAGTGACCCCGGCCCCAGGACAGGGAATCCAGGTGTCCCACCCGGAAGCTCCCTTAGGGGACATCTGGTCTGAGTGTCGGCTGAGCAGGGGGGAGCTGACGCATGCCAGTCTCGGCGTGACCTCAGTGACCAAAGGAAGACACCGTTAGACCAGCATAACGGACCCTTTGGTGCCCGAACGGCCACGTCTGCAGCTGTAGTGCCAACGTGAGGGCCCGCAGCAGCGACAGACGGTCAACGTGTCAAGTGTAGAGGAGGAAAATGCAAATGATCACGGTCAAGAGAGGACACGGCACCTGCAGTTCGGGGCAGTGTCCCGCCTCCCCCACCGGAGCGGACGTCCGTGCCACTTCATCCACCAGCATCCCCTTCTATTAACCACTGGGACCTCACTGCACCTGCCAGTCCCGAAACCCCGCCCCCTGCCCCCACAGGGTGTGCATGTGACCCAGGCTGGGCCAATCAGGGTCCTCTTAAGGGATTGATTGACAGGGAGGGAAGAGGCCTCTCTCTTCTTCTGGGATCCCCACTCAAAGAACCACCCACCTTTCCTCCTGCTGGGGCGGAGGCTGCCTGAGGCCAAACGCAGAGGAAAACAGAGCTGAAGGAATGAGATGAAAATACCGCTTGAGTCCTGGATCCAGCCACACCTGTAGCCGATATCCCCCGCACTTGCCAGTTCCAAAGGCCAGGCAATTCCCCTATTTTTTGCCTCAACCGTATTTGAGCTTGCAAACAAATGAGTGGTAACTTCTCCTACATGAGGTTCCTACCAGAGAATCAGTTTCCCCCAATCTCCTCGGCCACAGGCCCACTTCCCCCGGCTGAAAAGAGTTCTGGATTGGGAAGAAGCTCTGCAGACTGCTTGGTGGGTCCGAGGTTTCCTTTGGGGGTGGTGGGAAAGTTCTGGTCGTGGGATTAGCTGGGGCGCAGGGCGCCATGGCTGCACAACGCTGTCAGTGGGTGACGTGAGCACTTGGAATAATT